CCCGCAAAGCTTGTTTTTGCGAGTGTTGCTTCTTCGCAGTGCACCGGTGCTCGGAAAGAAGCGCACTCAACGGGGCTCAATCAGGCACACATTAGCGGAAAACGGCATTCACATTATGTGCTTCAAGACTAGCAATGATGACCAAGACGACATCGAGGATGAGGAACAGCTCACTGGCATCATGCTTTCTGACCTTGAAGCACATAATGTGAACGCCGAGCTGGCGGAATATGCTAGTCTTGACGACTATGTGCGTGTTTGTCGTGATAACTCATTAGAGGACATAAGGAAGTAATGCCAGCACAGTGAAGCAGCGAGAGTGAAGATGATGATGAAGAAAGGGATGACCCACTACCAACTTTCACAGCCGCAAAGGCCTTTGAGCACATCGCTCAGCTCCGGAAGTTTCTGTCTGCAAATTAGGAAGAGACCCGTAATGAGCTACTTGCGTTGGCTGGTATTGAAAATTTTGAGATCTCATGTACTGACTAAACAGTCCACAATCGACAACTTTTTTGCCGGATGAATAAACTTAACGTCACAGTTCTTTCACCAATTAGTTATGCTTGTACCTGCTTATAATTATGCCTATGTAGAGGAAACTGGCAAAAATCTGCTTTGTATGTGTAACAGTAACATGTAACATGTAACAAATCATAATGTTGTCTAGTATCATACTTAGATGAATTTCTGATAATTCAAACTTCTGGTAATTCAAACTAAAATCTGTGACTTCCTGGAGTTTGAATTAATGAGAGTCTACTGTATTACGTCCAAGCTGATTACATTTTTTTTGTGTGATTATATTTCTATTACGTTACTAGAGCCTCGCACACTAACTCCCGAGTGTGCGATGCAAAATTAAAGTGAGATACCCAGAAACCCGTTGCAGGTGCCCTGAAGTCGCTGACGCAAATTTTGAGGAATGTATTTGGAAAAGTATTTGGAGGAGACCAAATACATTTGGTTGTATTTGTATCTTGTACTTAAATGCTTTTTTTGGAAATGTAATTAGATTTGTAATTAAATACATTTTTGACGAAGTATTTTGTATTTGTATTTTGATACCTATTTGCCTGTATTTTGTATTTTTCCACTAACGATCCACTATTCAATCGGTGGGTAGCAAAACGTATACGCATCTGCAGAGTCATGGGCGATGCGTAGTCTAAGTGGCTGGAAGTTTACACGATGCCTGCCACGACGTCCAAACACGCCATTGACGTTCTGCGGTCTCTTTTACCTACTTTTGCCCTGCCGAAAATACTTTTCTCCGATAACGCGCCAAATCTTGCTTCAATTAAAATAAACAAGCTTTTGAAGAAAATAAAAACCGGCATCAGGCATCACATTAGTGTACCATACCATCCTGCAACTAACGGGTGTAGTATTTTAATTTTTCGCAAGTTCTTTACACGCTATTTAGACGGCGCCACTTTCCACCACTGCGCCGTGTTAGGGTCTCGAAGTTCCAAAACCAAGGAAGACAATTGCGGCGTTCTTTCCCATAAGCAAGGCTGCATACCTCGACGTCATCCCTCCCTCCTCCTCGACCAAACAGGGAGAACTCCACGCCATTTGCCTGGCTTTAGCATCAGCCTAGGAAGCTATGTCCTCCTCCATATCCGCCCTCCCTGCGAACCTTCGCATCTTTTCAGATTCACAGGAAGCAATCAAAGAATGCAAGGCTAGAGCCAGCCCTTCCAAGCTAATGCGAAAAACTAAAAACCTCGCTTCGCAACTTCGTGGCCAGGGAGTTCACGTCAAGATCGAATAGGTACCTGGCTACGCCGGGATTCCTGGAAATGAAGAGGCTCATGGAATCGCCCGTGCCGCACTCTTCCTCTCGGGTGAGGAGACTAGTCCCTCACATCAATCAGAACACGGATACGCGACGCAGCGTGATCGCGCGTCTCGTCTCCGAACCTACAACCGCCAGTCCACCGCCCTCAACGATTACGCGGAACTGGACCCGGACGAGCACCGCACTCTCATCAGAAACGAATGTCGCATTCGGCTCGAGGAACTTCTACCCGAGGACCCGGACCCTCTTCCGTCGGGGTTGGGTCGTCGAGCGAGAGTCCTCCTTCTGTGCATCAGAACGGACACAACGGTCGATCCAGCACGAATAGCAACATGGAGCCAAAACAAGTCCTCGGGCTTGTGCTAGCGCTGCAAACTCGGAGCCCGGGCTACCTTCGCCCACCTTGCCTGGTCCTGCCCGGACCTGGCAGCAATACGATCCCGCAACCGGCCACTCGATATCATCCAGCTCGAAAGCTGGACGCACCCTCCAGGAACAGGGGGTGCACGTAGGCCTGTGCTGCGGTCCCTCCTCGACTTCGTGTTCGAGGCGGGACTGCAAGCGCATATCTGACTTCCCTCACGGCCTAGCAGCCAGGCGTCCGGCCACCGCTGCATTCTATCCTTCCTCTTTCTTTTTTTTCGGCCAAATAATAAACGTTTTACTGACTGACTGACTGTGTTAGGGTTGCGTCTGGGTCCGGACATTTCGTCGAACGCCGTTTGATTGAACGCCGTTTGATCGAACGCCATTTCATCGAAGCCGTTTCATCGAACACCGTTTCATCGAACGCCGTTTCATCGAAGCCGTTTCATCGAACGCCGTTACAGCCTGTAATATTTTTGTAATTTATCTTAATTTTTATACACAACGTCATCTAATTCTCCCTTTTTTAAACCACAGGATGCAGTGACGAGATAAGTTTCATCGTGAACATATCCTGCTTCGAGAAGAAAGCCTCCGTGAAAAAATGACCCCTCTCTATGTCACGTGAAACAACTAAAAATTAGAAAAAAAAAAAAACAGAAAGCACAATGTGCTTTCTGGGAAGCGGGTAGTGTTTTATTGTCTGACAGCGTGTACGTGTAACATTGGGTTATGTGAGGATCCGAAAGGGTTCTGTGACTTCTGTCTTCTTGGGTGACAGAGTACACCCAGGACTTTACTATTGTCGCGTGTGGGTTGGCCTTCCTAAGAAAGCGTCCTGAAGATCATTCATAGGCAAAAGGGTCGGTGATAAAGTTGACAGTGAAAGGGAGGTGGTTCCAGTCCAGGTGTAGCCCGAAGCCATGTTCGCTGACACTTTGTGCAGCTTTTGTCTCTGTAAAAATTGAAAAAAAAGCAGAAACGTTCAATCTAAGCATAAAGCTGATAATCAGAGTATCATTAAATTTTATTTCGTGTGCTATCCTGGCAGAGTATCGTTATATTATAAGCGTGCTGCCCTGGCAGTTGAATGCTTTTCGTGAATAAACCTTCAACTAAGCGTAAGTGTGCAAACGAGCTGGTGCGAATTGCACATTACTGAAACCCCCAGACAGCCAATAAAAAAAAAAAAGAAAAAAAAACGACACAGGCATTTAAAAGTGTTTTAAGTGTCGGTCCTTTACCTCCAGTGTCATGTTTTTTGTCATGTACATGAGTAAAACTTTTCAGTAAGTCGCATGCCCATTTGTTTTTATACCAGTGGTATTTATTTCAAGTAATTTGGCTCCACCCTAAAAACAGTTTCACAGGTGACTGACTACTTTAGTCTTAGCAAATGTAAGGTAAAACATCTATAGAGCACTGTTATGCCCCGAAATTCGATACAGAGAAATTCGATGAAACGGCCCTTAGCGATTCGATGAAACGGCGTTCGATGAAATGGCGTTCGATGAAATGTCCATTCATTCGATGAAACGGCGTTCGATGAAACGGCGTTCGATGAAATGTCCGCTACCCGGTTGCGTCCCCGTGGCGCTCTACCTCCATATTTGTTTACCGTTAATAAACGGAGTTACGCTTCAACTGCTTCAACAACTGTGGCTTCAACCACCGACTGGTTCGGACGTGTCTCTCTCCTTCCGGGGCTCCCGCGCCCGGCCCGCCGGTCACCACTTCGGCATGTGAGACCTCATTCTTTTCTGCAGGCCCACGCAGGCACTGCTCTTCGTTATTTTTTCGGGTTGTCCGCATTTTCTTTTAATACTACATTTTGGCGACGAGGATTTACCGAGGAAATACTACATTTTTGGCGACTAAGGATGGGATTTTTTTTTCTCCGCATTTTCGAACCTTCGCGCTCCCCGAGGTTTTCTTTTCGCTGCTTTTCTTCGCGGCTCTGCTCTGTTTAGCATTGTTTTTGGGAGGGTCCGAGCGGTTGGTCGGCCGTACTCCCCATCCGACGGACTGGACGTGTAATTTTTTTTTCCTCTTCGCGTCATCTTTCACGTTCTGAATGGCGTTGTGCAAAGTTCCCGCCAATTTTCTCAGCGCGCCCGGCGAACCAATGACGCCGTGGCAAACATGGAAGCGCGGCTTCCTCAACTACCTTGAGGCGATCGACGCCGAGGATTTTACGCCGAAACGAAAGAGGGCGATTTTAATTTCATTTCTCGGCGATGAAGGCAATCGCGTCGTTGATGCGTTCAACCTAGCAGGTCCGCCCGCTAGCGCGACTCAGGATGAGTTTCAGGTTTTGTTGTCCGCTTTGGACTCCCATTTCGCTTCCGCTCCTAACATCATTGTTGAGCGTCGGAAGTTCATCAACAGAGTACAGGGTCCAGGAGAGACCGTCCTCGAATATCTTGGGGCGCTCAGACGCCTAGCTTCTCTTTGCGATTACGGCGAGGCTTTAGAGAGCCGCGTCGCGGAGATGTTTATTTCGGGGATCCACAGCACGGAAGTGCAGGATCGTCTAATCCGAGAGTCCGACGGAGCTAACGCAAATAGCCTCGATCGTGCTGTTCAACTAGCGCAGCAGTTCGAGCGGGCATCTCGAGATTGCGATCTTTTACGGCGTTTGTCAGAACGAGACCCAAACGCGTCGCACGTGGTACAGCGTGTCCAAGATGGCCGCGATCTTCAACCGCTGAGCGATCAGCATGCCCAAGATGGCGAGGCATCATCTTCACGGAGGAACCAGCATCCTCCTCCCCCGTCTCCCCCGAGACGTGAGCATCCTTTTCCGCCTCCTTCCCCGTCGGGTCGCGAGTTGAGATCTCCCCCATTCATCCGCCGGCGTTCGCGCCGCACGTTTTACCCCCATCGAGGAGCTCGCGCGCGCTCGTCGTGCGATTTTTGTTTCTTTTGTGGCCGCAAGAGCCACGCCCGGCAAGATTGTCTGGCATCCGGAGCTACGTGCTTCTCGCGTGGTCGTGCGGGCCACTTCGCCAACATCTGCCGGAGTCGTCCAAGAGGCGACCATTACCACCCAGACAACACTCGACATCCTCAGGACGTCCTCGAAAGGTACAAACGTCCTCAAGGTTTTCAAGACGTCCTCAGGACATCAGAATTAATTGGGGGGCTAGTTGGTTGAACATCTAGACGGTGGTTTTGAAAGCGCAAAGGACTGAGAAGAGAAGGAGGGGACAGGACAGAGCGCTTACTTACAACTGTCAAATTTAATAGAGCATCTAGAGAACGACAAGGTGGAAGTGAAAAAAGAAAGGAAGGAAAGAGAGATGATATTAAAGTCACTGCTGATTAAAAGAACATATTTAGTTTTATAAATCGAAATAAAAATTATTTTGACTTCAGCCAAAGGCAAAGTACTTGTCACGTAAAAAAACTCTATGCTACAAAAAGCAAAAGAAAAAGAAAAACATGAAATATTAGAGAAAAAATTACGCTGAGCAAACGGCTAAAACGTCTTCAGATAAAACACCGCTAGAACTGAAGTTCTCTCTGTGTTTCAGGTCTTCAGGGGAAACACCGAAGGAACTGAAGTTCTTTTTGTGTTAGGGTCACTGATGGCGCGCTTATGCACTTGTCGCCACTGGTGAGGATGACTTGAGCCTCGTACAGTTTTCTGGTGTTTTTGTCACGGAACCGCTTTAGAACTTTGGTGTGGTTGAATGTTGGTGAGCATTTGCAGTCTCCGACATGCACCGCAAGATGTCCCGATGGTGCTGATTTTAACGTTTGGGCATGTTCTCTTAATCTGGTATTAATACATCGCCCCGACTGACCTACATACACTTTGCCGCATGTAAACGGTATTTGATATACCACTCCACTTTGACATTCCACATACTTGAGTCGATGTTTTACACTGCACTCTGCCTGTTGATGCTGTTGGCAATTGATCTTAGGGCAGAGCCTTTTTAGTTTGTCCGGAGCTGAAAGCACAACTTGGACTTGAAACTTCGCAGCTGTTCTCTTCAAGTTGTGGGACAAACGGTGTATATATGGCAGAACAGTCGGTCGGTGTTTCTTTCGTTTTTCAGTGTCACGTTTTTTATTTGAGGTCATCAAGGATTCGGCAACGTCATATATTATGGAATTCGGATATCCCGACGCTTTCAGTCTTTGCACTTGAGCATCGAAGCTTTCCCCCGCTGAGTGCATGCAAGATTTTTTAAGAGCTGTATTCAGGCAATTTTTTGCGATTCCTCTTTTTATAATTTTGGAGTGAGCCGAATCATACTGTAAAAGACCTTTCTTCGATCGAGGGGAATACATCCAGCAAGCGTGGTTGTCGGAGAACACCAGTCTTAGATCTAAAAAGTGGAGAACGGAGTTCACTGGTGATTCTTGGGTGAACTTGAGACCTTGGCCATTTTCTAAAAAGTTAGATTGGATGATGTTGAATATTTGCGTCTCATTCTCACTTGGGCGATGTTGAAGGAGAGCGAGGTAATCATCAACATATCGAAAAATATGAGATACAGGGCTGTTAGAAAGTGTACTGTCTATTGCCCGATCACATTGGGACAAGTAAATATCACATATTATAGGTGCCACCCAGGAACCTATACATATACCTTTCTTTTGTAGGAAAGAATTACCTTCAAATGTGACGACTGTAGCAGAAAGGTAGAACTTTAAAAGTTCTAAGAAGGACTCTACCGGAATGCCGCACTTGTTTTGAAATGAAATAGTTCCATTGGCTTCAATACATTCACTTATTGCTGCAAATAATTTCATGTGAGGTACTGAGTAAAACAGATCCTCCACATCAAGTGACAAGCCAAAGCGCACTGTCATTGCATTTAGTTGCAGATACTTAATAAGTTCCTCTGAATTTGTTATTAGGAATGGGTCATTCAGCTGGAAATTCGACAAATGGCTTAAGAGGAACCGTGACATTAAACCCTGCCAAGACCCTTTCTCAGTGACCACAACTCCGAAAGGACATTCGTCCTTGTGTGTTTTTGCCGTGAAAAACATATCCAAATGGTCCTTTTTCGTAGCAGTAATTGTCTTCCTCAATTGCTCCAGCTCAAGCCTGTGGCACAGTTGGAGCGCCTTTGCCTTCACTCTCTTAATTTTGAAATCATGCAACTGGTTAAAGTTTTTCTCTATGGCCTTCCCTGCTTTTTCGAGGTAGAGTGACCTAGGAATGACAACGAAACTTTCGAGGTAGAGTGACCCTAACACAAAAAGAACTTCAGTTCGTTCGGTGTTTCCCCTGAAGACCTGAAACACAGAGAGAACTTCAGTTCTAGCGGTGTTTTATCTGAAGACGTTTTAGCCGTTTGCTCAGCGTAATTTTTTCTCTTCTATTTCATGTTTTTCTTTTTCTTTTGCTTTTTGTAGTATAGAGTTTTTTTACGTGACAAGTACTTTGCCTTTGGCTGAAGTCAAAATAATTTTTATTTCGATTTATAAAACTAAATATGTTCTTTTTAGCAGCAGTGACTTTAATTTCATCTTTCTTTTCTTTCTTTTCTTTTTTCACCTCCACCTTGTCGTTCTCTAGATGCTCTATTAAATTTGACAGTTGTAAGTAAGCGCTCTGTCCTGTCCCCTCCTTCTCTTCTCAGTCTTTTGCGCTTTCAAAACCACCGTCTAGAGGTCCTCAGGACATCCTGAGAACGTCAGTCGCTGGATCATTCTAGAAACGTCCTTCCGAGGACTTATTGCGGACGAAGGATACAAAGTTAGAGATAAGTTCAGTTCATAATGCGTTTATTGGCCATAATCTAGGGGGAAAGGAGAGGGAGGGCGTCGGTAACTACGCGGTCTGGACGCTGGCACGAAATAAAAGAGACGGGATTAGATGAAGATGTCCAAATTGGCCTCATAGATAAAATTAGGAGGCCGTTCAGGATTCTCCTTTGGTTGTTCTGGGATCCAGGCGGGTGGGTCCATCCCTCCAGCGAGCTAATGTCTGGGGGTCGGTGCTTTGTCCTGGCTTCCTTTGATTTGGGGCACTCCCATAGGATGTGGTGAGTGTCGGCCTTCTTGCCCATGGTGCACCTTGAACAGGTTCCAGACCTGGTTCCTTTGCTCCATGATGCGATGCGGGCGGGCGTGCAGGTGGTGTCCGCGCGTATTTTCGTGAGGAGAACGCTGGCTCGTCTGCCGAAACCCTGGGGAAGGGGATCTGCGTTCGGAGGAAGTTTCTCCCAAAGTGTGGTCCGGTAGTGTTCTTTAATTTGGGCCCGTCTTCATCCGGGTCGTATCCTTGATCTGTTTGGCCAGCCGTGTCCTGATCACAGGCGGGGGCATAGCCATGGTCGTGTATATGTGGAGGGACGTCAGCAGCTTCGCGGAGAAAGGAAAGGGACGCGCGAGCTAGCTGATGAACCTCTTCATTGCCCTCGATGCCTGCATGCGCAGGGACCCAGGAGATTTTGATAGTCGTTCCTTCCTGCAGGAGTCGGGAGGCGAGCTTCTTGATTTCCCGAACTATGCGGCTCGGGCTTCTTGCTTTCTGGCATTCTTTAATTGCTTCCCTTGAGTCTGAGAACACTCGAAGTTCGCGAGGTAGTGGGTGTTGTGACTTGAGGACTGTTTCGAGGGCGAGGTGAATCGCCGCAAGTTCACCCCCTTTGATGGAGGTGCGCATAGGAAGTGCGTTCGCGGCCGAGGAGCCGAGAGCTGGAAAGTAGACTGCCGCGGTCTTCAGCGGAACCGGGGTGTCTTCTGCGGCGGTGTCGGTATATGCGGCCATGATGTGAGTGGGGTTGGTCCATGTCTCAACCATTCCGGAGTGCGCTTTTGCGATTCGTGCTTGCTGTTGGGAGTCGCCTTTTCGAGCAGTCGGCTTGTTTTCAGCAATGTTCATGTGATCCTCCCAAGGAGGGAGTTGCTCGGGAAGGTTGGGGAAGCCTTCTGTTGCGCGCCATAGAAGTTTCAGGATTTCCCGTCCTTGCTTAAAGTGCTTAAGACGTTCGCCGTGTGCAACCGTGCGAGCGACGACGGTGTCATGAAGTGAGTTGATCTGTGCGTGCTCTTTTAGTTTCCCGAACGGGGTGAACCGAGGGAGGCCCGTGATGAACCTCATAGCTTGGTTGTTCAGGGACTCAAGTTTTCGCCACTGTGCTTTCGTGAGCCAGTAGTGTCGGGCTCCGTAGCAGACTCGGGAGACTACCATGGCCTTTACCATCCTTCTGGCGATCTCGTCCGTTGCACCGCCCTTGGCGCTACAGATTCTTCTGATGGCATTGAGGGCAGGGTTGCAGTACTTCAGCGTGTCTTGAAGCCATATGTCCCCTTTGCCTGTCTCCTCCACGGTAATTCCCAGGATCTTGACAGACGTAGAGGGCTGGATTCGCTTTCCTGCGAGCACGAGATGGAGCTGGTCGCCAATCTTCATTACTCGTTGTCGTTTGGGTGCTATGGTGACATAGTTAGTCTTGTCTGGGGAGGCCTGGAGGCCTACCTTGTGAAGGTGGGCTTCAATCATGTCTAGGCCGGCTTGGAGTGTGTCTTGTTGCCTCTCGATGTCTTCGCTCTTGGTCCAGATCAATACGTCGTCGGCGTACATCGTAAACCCTAGCTTGTTAATTTTTTCGAGTTCGTAGGGTAGGGCCCCATCACGATGTTGAAAAGCATCGGTGAGATGACAGAGCCTTGCGGGACACCAACGAGGTTGGCCTTGGGTTCACTGCGGTTGGCTCCGCAGCGGACCGAAAAGGTTCTGCCTTCGAGGAAAGTCTTAATGAAGTTTAAGGATCTCCCAGTGATGCCAAGGCGCTGAGATTCTTCTATGATTGTTGAGTGTGGAACAGAATCGAAAGCCTTTTTGACATCAACTGTGATGATGGTTCTGATGTTGGAGCGGTCAGGGTTGATGTTGTGGATAATATCCGCCGATATCAGAGCCAGGCTTTCTTGGGTGCCGACGCCGGGTCTAAACCCCGTCTGGGCCGGGTGGAAAGAGTTGTTGGATTCAAGAATCCATTCTATTCTTGAAAGTACCATGCGATCCATTACCTTGCAGGTGCAAGACGTAAGGGAGATCGGTCTGTAGTTTGTGAGGGTACCTTTGTCCTTGCCCGGCTTGGGGATTGGGATGACGAGGGAGTGTTTCCAGCTTTTGGGGAGCTTAAGCCAGTCTCCCAGATCTCATTAATCCACTCTAGAAACTCGGATTTGGTAAGATCTGGGAGATTTCTCAGCATTGTCATGGTGATCTTGTCGGAACCGGGGGCTGTGTGGGCTTTTCCGCGTTGAAGAGCGCTTTCGAGCTCGCCCCGCGTGAAGGGCCCGTCCATGCCGTAATCCGGAGCCAGGACTTCGTGGTAGTATGGCGAAGGACAATTCCTCAAGTCGGGCTGGGGAAAAAAGAGGTCCCCTGCCATTCCGGCGAGTTGTTTCTCAGTCTTGTTGAGCTTAAGGCCACGGTCCCACTGAATGTGGCAGTTTAGGTACTTTTTGGCAGGTCATTACTCATCTCCTTTTAAATTCTCTTTTGTGGGATTGATGTCATTCGAAAGGCAATGCAATCCTCTTTCATTTGATATTATGTATGTGTTGGTTTTTACTGTTCATACGCGTTTGTAGCGTTGCGAATATGATGGCGCGAACCCATACTTGCTCCGCTAGTTCATGTTTTATGAACGATCCACTAAAGATAGCACGGTTCCAATATAGCAGTTTTGTTAAGATGATGTCGGAGCAGAATGTAACGATACACTTTTTTGGTATTTGCAATACTTTGTTTTTTTCATCCCTCCAAATATTGCCCTAAAATTGACATTTTTCAGCACAAATATGTCTTTAATGACAAACGCTAGGGCAATGAAATTAGCTACAGATGTAGTGCTTACAATTGGTAATATGCAGATAAAACTTTAATGTTGTGTAAAATTTTTTTGTATAGATATTTTATATCAAACGTAGCACTTTTTTGTGCTTCGAGTCATGGTACTTCAAATGCCGCTGAGGAAATAATTAAGCTATGACAAAATCTTTTATAACATTTAGAGCTACAATGGTTGCCCAAGAGGTGGACGATGGATTTTTTTCATTTTCAAAGTCATAACGCTCCAGGAGCCCTTCAAACTTACCTGTTTTTGATGCATATCTTTTTTGGACATCAAACAGATTTATTGGCATCTAATGGCAGTATTGTTAGGAATAGATATACATTGCGATGTATTAAATTTTCACAATTATCTTGCTTTGGTTTCTTAATAGGTGTAGAGCTTAGATAATTTTAAAAACAATTAAAAACTGTTTGGGTGTTTTGTTGCGCTACCTGGCGGATGGCAGACAAACTGCTCTATTCTAGTGTTCAAAAAATTTCCGAGGGCGGCGTTGGCGTCTGTATCATCATCAATCTCCGTGTCTTTTTACCTTCACATATAAAAAATATATTGGAAGATTTACTATCGATAAATGAATGGTTTAAGTACTGGGTTCGAATAATAAATATAAGACAAATAATTACACACGTGTAGTGTGATATAATCTGTTCATAATTCGATATGATTGAAATCAATAAATATTAAAGACGAAGAGGAAAATAATATACCCGAGTTCACTTCATGTCTAGAGTCACTAAATGAGCTTTAAAGTATAGGCATTCCGTTCCCCAAAATTGTTTTGGACGCCGCCATTTTGGGTCATGTTCAGAGCAAACGCAACTGCCAATCGTTATGATTCAAAAGTACGACTTCCTCAGCATTAGATGCGGTGCTAGGAAGCTGATGCAATATTGCAATGCTCTGTTGCGGGCTGTTTAAACATTTGTGGGGTACGGAAAAGCGTTTCCTGTGATTTTAGATAAAGCTTCGGGTAACTGGCAACCATGATTTTAAGCCACAATATGGCCAAGTGTCGTTACTCTGAACCGCTCCCTGTTACACGAGCATCCTTAACCGTGGTTAACTCAGCTTTAACTGCTGTTACGTGGCACCACAGTTACCGCACTATACTCTCGGACAGCTATTTCACAAGAAGTGGAGAGCGCTCGTGCACTGCTTCGATGTGTGCTCAAGATGCTCACGCGCACATTCGCCCATAGCTTTGACTGCATAGCCAAAGAATGTTGTCGGCCAGTATTGTGCGCTGACTGTAGCTTAGCGTAACTGCAGTTAAGTGCGCCCGTGCACAAGTGGGAACAATGAGGAAGAGGCAGGTGTTAAAAGGTAGTGGATCGTGGAATCCACGGGGCTTACGTCATGGCCCCTC